AACAACCAAACTTGCCGCAACAACCCCAAACGACCCGGAGGCCTCAACATAAGATCCAGTGTACGCTTCGAATTCGCAGGGCTAGAAGAGCACTAAACGAGTTGCAGACAAAGAAAGAACATCCGATCCGTTTTCTGGATAAGGGTCGACGGCATTTGACATCTGGCCCGCCATGCGTTTGCTCCTGGTCGAACTTCCTGAACCTGAACTGCGGGGGCCCTTTGGTGGATCCACCAACCACTTTTTTGAGGTGGTTCCCTGTCAAAAAAAGTCGTAGCCACGTGTTGCGCGCCCAACCGCGTCTCTTTGCCGGCCTTGCGCCCACCGTCAGCTTCGCCGAAGTGTAGTCGCAGTCGCTGCCGCCCCAAAGCGCAGCAGATTTTGGCACGTCCGTGCCGAAGAGGATCTGATACGCGCCTGGTGCTCCACCCAGGTGGTTGTTTTTTTCCCGTTTTTGTGCTTTGCTATTTCTTTCTTTTTCTTATGTCATGGACCTGGCTAGGTGGGGCAACTGGGAAGGAACCTTTCACCTGTTACACATGGAAAAGAAACAGTCCTGTTGCAGCCAGCCATTCTTGGGCAAGGAATGTGTAAATACTAAGGGAAACTCTGGATTCATAAAGTTTCCGGGTGTCCATTCAAGACGGGGTCCTCAAGAGCGGATCGATCCTCAAGAGGGGATCCTTCCCTTTCGGGGGAACACCCCCTATGAATACATCAGGTTGACTAATCCGAGGTTGACATGACCCTGTCAACGGGCTCGTCCAGTGGTTTACATCCCTCTCCAGAAGCATTTGCACACCTTGATCCTTAGGCCTTAGGCCATACCTCTCGAAGCAATGCACACATGACGCTCCTTGGGCCATACCTCACGCCATCTGGCAGCCCCATATGATACCTCAGGGAATCCTAACCCGGCGAATCCCGAACCTCAACTGAATGGAGCCCTGCGAGAACGCAACACCTCGGTGTGTGGGCAGAATTACGACAACTCAAAACCTGAAAGACGAAAAGAAAGAAAAAAAGGACAAAAAAGCTCGTCATCATGGGCTCAAGGACGGGACCATGGGACCATCATCATGGGTTCAAGAAAACACCGGGGGCCCGTCATCACGGGTCGCCCCTCATGCCCCCGACCCGGTGAGCTCGTCAGAGTTGGCCATGTCCAAACAAAAAGAACAAAAGCGTCGGCTGGCCCAGCGGTTCCAGCTGATCGCCACTGGTATGTTGATGCCTTGCATATTGGCCATGAAGACAGTACACACCCGAAAACAATAGCAGTAAAAAGGTGGAAGAAACAGCCATTAAAGACAAGATGACCAACGCTATATTTGACAAGAGAGGACATGGGACAAATATGAACCTATATAGTTGAACAGGCTGGCCCAAAAAAGGCCATCTCTGAGGGAAGTTTGAGGAATGCGATGATGTCAACTTCGGATTCATCCAGCGACCAAACCAATCCGAGGACTCTCCCTAAAATGTGTGTGTGTGTGTGTGCACGCAAAGTGGGACCACCCGTTTTTTGGTGCAGTCCTCCTTTTTGATTCATCCCAAGTGGACATGAGGAGCTGGCAATTGGAACAGATCGCGAAAGCAGGGTCCAGGGGGCCTGAAGTTGGCCAACTTCCCCATTCCGGTATGAAACGCCCAAAACCCACGGACTGGTCGTTCTAGGGTTTTAAAAGGTTTATATAGTACTCTAATTCGAATCAAGTAGTAGAACCATTTACTAAAGGAAAATCAAAAGAGGGTGTGGGCGCCGCTCAAGTGGAGATTCATGTCCAGCACCCATCCGTAAAACATAGAGGAAAATTGTCAAACCCACCTCTCAAGATGGGAGGCTGTTCCCCACTTGACAAGCTAAAGCCTTTTTTGCGACCTCTCCAAGGTGCCCAATTTTCCCCTTGAACATGAGGAAACTCATGGTGAAAACACACAAGGTGACGGCTCAACCCAAAGGCGCTGAGAAGGGAACATAGGTGTGCTTTTAGGGGAAATAGATGCCCCTGGTAGATGATTAAACCACCAGGTAAACCAGGGCCATCTATTTTTCTAGCAAAACAACCAAAAAGGACACCCATGGAAGGGAAATATGACGACCGGCGGGCCCTGCCTCCATTCAGCTCCCCAGATGCCAGAGCGAGGGCCACAAACTTCATGCCCTGAACCTTGGATTCGCGAGCTCCGATCGCTTCGCTTCGTTCGGTTTACCTGGGTGTCTAGGAAACCAAAAGGAAAACGGCAATTTTGGGGCTCCGCTATGTTGACACATACCCACATGGTCCCCAACCTTCAACCCCGGTTGTGTGGCTCATATCCAAAACATGCCCCACTGCCAATGGACAACAGGCCACACAAATGTCAACAAAAGCTGCTACACGCACCCACACACCTTGGTTCGAGGATTCCAATCCTAATGGATGATTCCATGCAAATCCAAGCGAATAATTGGTGGCTATGTTTGGGGCCTATAGGGCCTATTGCCCCCTGCTCAAAACGCCTGCTCCCAACAGTGCACGGTTAATTACCTTCCCAGGGGTCACCTGCTTTGAGGTTGACCGCTGCTTGATCTAGTTATTACTGAGGTGCTCCTTCTGGAAGAACAAAATCCCCACTACGTACACTGAGATCCCCTTTTTGATAATGGTAACAAACATAAAAATCATCACTTGCGGACTATGGAGAGAACAAGAAGACTGGGACCGCAACAACTCCAATGGACACTCCCTGGAAAGCAATGCAATGTGCTTGTCCCAGGTTGGACCTTCTTCGCAACGGAAACAAGGCACACCATCCTTGCTTGATTTTGTTGCCAAAAACGATGCCGGATACAATGCCCGAGAATCCACTTCCAGAAGGAAAATCCAGACCCTGAGTGACGATGGGAAAGAAAGGGCCAGTAGGGTTTTAAATGATTCAATGGATCTTCTTTCTACCCTACTACCTTCTTTTGAAGAGGATACGGTTCAGTACTATGCAATTATAGCACAAGGATTTTCAACAATACTTCGCAAGTTTGGAAAAAACGAAGCAACCCACTGGGTGTCTGTGAAATCGCATTCCCTTCAAACGTTCCCAGCGCGGCCCCAGACACACTGGCCCCATACCTGCCGGCGTCGTTGTAGGCCCAGACCTCCAAACGGCAAAAAGCTGAGGACGAGGTTGGACGAGCAATGGGAAAACCAGTGCGCAGAAATTGCCCGACCTGCTCCCATTCGACCCGATCGCAAGGGAACTCCTCAAGGAACCCAACCAATTTTCCAGGCGAGTCTCGGAGCAACCCTGATACCTTGGTCAAACTAAAGACTGACGTACGCATACCCATAAAGAAGAACATCAAATTAAACACAACCGATTGTAATCAAAACATGGGGAAATGCCCCCACCACAGAAAGCTATAGCAAAACACTCATGCCAGCGGGCAAGGATCTCCATAAAGTCTGCATCAACAAACGTCTGTCATCGCCAGGCCTCCGCTTGAACATGTTTATTAAGCATTCTTTATTGCTTAAGCCACTCTAAAGGGACCAGGGCCTGGTTGTTTCAGCATGCTTTGCCTAGCCTGGCTGTTTATCTATCCATCTATCTGTCTATCTATCCATCTATCTGTCTATCTATTCATCATGTCTGTCTGTCTGTCTAGCTATCTTTTTGCCTATCAACCCTCCAACGAATCGTGCTTCAAAGCGCTGCCTGTCACGAAAGTCAACGCGCGACCCTACAAAGCATTGCGTCGGCCACGAAATTAGCACGTGGGCCCTCCAAAGCACTGCCTGCCACGCGAAACAGGTTCTGGTGAGACGTGCTCCAAAGCGCTGCGCCTGCCACAAAACTCAACACGCAGCCCTGCAAAAGTGCTGCGGCTGCCCTATGTGCTCCAAAGCGCCGCGCGGTCATGAAATCTGCAAGTGACAATCCGGAATACGCCTCCGGTGAGACGTGCCCGAACGTCAGGAAACTCAACGCGTAACCACTCAAAGCGCTGCACCTGCCACGACAATTGATCTCCAAATTGCTGCGCCCGTCACGCAAAGTTCTCCACGGCCGCAGCATAAAGCGCTGTATTGACTGCACCTGTCACGAACTCCAACTTTGGCACGTGCGGGCTGCACGTCAAACATTAGCACGGGACAATGGTTGCGACCGATTTGACAAACAGAAAAGCTTGCCGAAACGAGCCGATTACACGACCCAACGAAAATGACACGCGCGCGCGCAGACACACCTCCAAACGATCGAATGCGAATCGCAACTCGCAATGCACGGCGACACGAACGTGCGACCTTCCAAAACACTGCGCCTGCGCGGCAAAACGACACGCAACCTCGCAAAAGCTATGATTTGCGCACAGCAGCAACGAAAACAACATGCTGCAAGTCATACCAGTCACTTACAACTCGCACAGACCCTGAGCCTTCCTCATGACACGGCAACTTTCGCCACCTGCGAACGCTGGCGACCGCTTGATGACGCCTGCGAACACTTGCGGACCTTTGCGGACGCTTCGACGCACCCGGCGATCACATGCTAACCCCCAGACCCCTTTCTAGTACAGGAACCCTTCTGCAACGCATTCGGGGAAAGGGCACCATCAAAAGCATAAATCCTAGGTTCGAAATGTTTCAACCTATATAACTCTGATAACTCAGTGGGATTCCTGTCCAACACCCCTTTGCCTCAGTCATCCCCCTCTACCTACCCACATAAGTGAATGCTAGATTTTGCCCATCCATTGAACATCGCCCGGTCACGATCAAAACCAGGCAAAACCAAACCCAGCCCAACGTCCAACTTACGACCCTCCCACCAATTAGCATGGAACCTGACGTTCGGGTGCCTGTCCCTTTCAAAGGAAAATGGTCTTGGTTTCGCAATCAAAACTACCCCTCAACTTCTCCTCTAAACATCACCCGGTCACAGTCAAACCGGGTACAGCCAAACCCTAACCTGTCCAACTCACCATCCAGGAACGCAGGTGTCCATCCATAGCTTCCCCTTCCAACATCAGGTGAAAACCAAGCCCCAGGTCCAAACTCGGCACCAATAAAAACCTGGGTAAAGCGAAGCCTTCAAACGCCCAGGTGAAACCTAGGCCCTCCAGGAACTCCACCCGTCCCCGTTGTCGGCTGCGCGCGTTGCGCCGCAAAACCGCCCCGGTCGATCCGTCGATCCTCGTCGATGGAGGTGGCGGGCACCAGGGGCTGCAGCGTGGGCTCCGAGAAGCCCACCGGCGCGAGCACGCCTTTGGTGCCCACGCACGTCACCTCCCAAAACGAGCGAGGCAGCTCGGCGGAGAAGCCACCGGGGGCAAGCTTGCCCCCAAAAGGGGGCCGCAGAAAGGGAGGGGGGGAGGGGGGGGGGAATCTTCGCCACTACGTCTCGTCTTGGTGTTGCTCTATTTTCGGTCTTTAGTTGTTGGTCTTTGTTGTTTGTTGCCTTTGTTTTCTGGCTGTTTGGATGCTGGTTAACTCGGACCCAAAAAAATGGAGGATGTGCTGTTTGCGGCTCGGCGCCCTTTTTTTACTTCGGCGAAGAAGGGGAAACCAGAAGGAACTCCGAACTCCCCTTGAGCCCTTGGGTCCAAATCTCCTTGACATCACTCCCGAAATGCCAGAGTCCTCTGCCCTGACCTCCATTTGGGAAAACGGAATTGGAGTTTTGGAAGATCGGCCCTTGGCGTTTTTGTGGCTCGAAATTGAAGAAAATGCGCGTTCTCAACACTAGGGGCCCAAAAAGGTGAGTTGTTCGGTTCGGAGGAATCTTCTTCTCGGGACCTTCGTTTGAGCCGAAATAGGGGGGGATCCTTCGGACTTCCCGTTGCAATCATACAGAAGTGGCATGTTGAGACAGACCCAAGTATGCTCACTTGTGAGGGCAAAAGCTTCGCCTTTCGGGCCCTCAGTCTATGAGGGGTTCTCTTTGGACAAGCTTAGAAGCCCAACCAGGGCCTAGGCTTGGAGTGGAGTGGTTTGGATTGGCTTGAAATGTTGGCAAACAGACAAACCCGCAAACCATCAGGCGCTCAATTGGCTGCGCAAACCTCGACAAACGCCTGTGGCTTGCCTCCCCGGCGTAGAAACATTCATGTCGGCAATTGAAAGACCGGGCTTGAACGGTGCGTTGTCACTAGGCCCTGCATCGTATCCCCTTGCCAACGGCGGTTTAACACGGCTACACTTATATATCCTGGATTGAGAAGGTCGGAAACGAATCAATCTCTCACCAATCCAATGAAACCTCCAAGCACGCCACGAGATGTATGCATGCCAGAAGCACCGTCTTAAAGAGGAAGGAGTGTACAGCCCGCTAATGTCGAAACAAAAGGATGCAAGAAAAAGACATCTAAAATATCTAAAGCCGGAGACCCACATTGGCAAGCATGCCCGACAGTGCTCAGTTCACCCAAATGTGCTTCTGCCAGTCCACGTGGGTTTGGGTTTTGAACAGGGGATCCCAAAAAAAACCTGTGCTTGTTCTTTGGTTTCCCCTTAAAACCATCCCAAACAGGGTAGATTCAAAAAGAGCTCCCAAAGGCGACTTTGCCCCAACGAAATTCTTTCTTTGCCCTAACACAGGGCCTGGTTGTTTCTGCCAGCCCTTCGAGCCCCTCAGATTTTCTGCACCCACCCCTGCTCGCGCCCCAAAAGACAACGACGGGTTTCGGGGCCTCGGGTTGAAACCGCTTCGGGGCAAAGCGAAGCGATTCGCCCCGCCTTCCGGCCGGGGCCTGTCCCAAAGGGCGAGTCCTTCTCGATCTTCTTGAGGTCCGGAAGGGATGCCCCACTCTCGCGCACCCGCTCTTGCCAGCCTCGGTCGCCGCGCTCCGCGCTGGAACAACAACTTCCAGGATTCCCCCCCCCCCTCTGAAGCCGCAGGCATACCTCAGTCCCGAAAGCCTAAAATTAAGGCGTGAAAACATAAAAACGCTGATCCGCACATGTTGTTTGTGTTGTGAGTGTTCCTTGTGTTGACATCAACCACCGACATAAACTACTTGGCACCTGGGCATTCACGGCGAAAGCCAAAGCTGGAGTTTGATTCGACAGCAAAACCCGAGCGAATGATGAGAACCTGTTCGAAACACCCCAGCAGATCGGGGATTCTGGGGCTGGTACGGACCCCCTGCAATGTCGGGGCAGGTCTTTGATTGGGCAAGGCCAGAGGGTGAGCGGCCCCAGTGGAATGAGGGGTTCGGAAATTATCTCACTGACGGGTTGAAAAGGAAAAGCCATCCCAGATTCGCAGCCACGTCAGCCCGAGAAAGCCCGGAGCCACACACCAGCCCCAACTTTGACCATCAAGTCGGCGCTTTGCTGGGGGGGGGGGGGAGGTTCTTGCTTTGGCCGAATGATCAAAAGCGAGAACCAGCCATGCCCGCCAGCTTTAGCTGTCACAGCTCCTGCAACTGAATATGGCTAGGGGAATCTGAAATGCGTCTTCCCAGCTCACAAGCCGACCCATCAGGTTGGGCAATTCACCCAGGGCGGAACTGCAGCCCAATGCGTTCCGGGCACATCCCAAGCCGGCCAGAAATCAGGGATCGCAATGGGAAGGGGCGTTGCTTTGGCTCGCCCAAACGCTTGGTCAACGTTCAACCCCAAACTAGGATTTAGCTCGGTTCTACCATCATCGTTTCAAGGACAAATACGTCAAACATCGACTCAGAGCGCATTCTTGAAGGGAACCTAAAGCATCCATTTGGGCGAAACCCCATTTGCCTGGTCCCTCAAAGTGAACATGTTGACGATTTCTCAAAATTGCTGTCCGGGGTGGCTTCCTGTTGATCACTCCACCATTTGGAATCCACCCAATCCTTTTGCCAAAGCCACGCTATCCCCTGGCAAAGCGGATAGGCGTGCTCTGAGTGGTTGGATAGGGGAGTCTGAGAGGGGTGCCCGGCCCCCCGAGGGATGGTTGACACGACAAGCTTCTAACTTCTCTCTAACCCTTACCTCTAACTTTTCTAGCCTCTACCGTCTTTAATCTCTAATTTTCTCTAACTCTATCTTCTCTAAGCTTTCACTTCTCCCCTACCTTCCCCAACCTCTAACTCCAAGCTCGAACTCCAAGCTCTAATTCGAACTTACCTCGTAGAGTACATTGGTCCACGCCCTTGCATCACCCTCGCTTGACTGAGCAAAGACGTCCGACATGTTTGTAGACTACGCTGACGAAACGTAACAGGTTTGCAAACCAAATTGGTTGACACCTGGAGCATCGGCTCTGTTTTGGTCTGCAAACAGTCGGGCTTGTCGGGCTCGTCGCCTGGTTTGTGTGAGGAAACTTGGTAATAAACATTGTTTTAGCGAGGGCAAAGGGCTCCCAGCAAGCAAGAGTTGGTATGAGAGGTCAAAGCACGGTGTGTCAGAACGTAGCTTAAACAGTAGGAGGCGAGTTCGACAAAGAGAGCATAGACTTCTTCTATGGGTCATGGTCATGATTTCCCTGAAAGGAACCTTTACATTGGTTGTCTCAAACTCTAGGTTGAGCATCCCTACGAAGCCCAAGAAATCAGTTTTTTGACCATTTCACATTTCTTGGCCCAGAACGCAGGGTACACCAAAAATGAAGTTTTCAGATTCTGTTCCATATTTAGTTGCCCTCAAGCTAGTATTTTCTTAGACCCCACGTGCTGCCCTGCTCTTTTGGTAGTTCCTCAAAAATGGTGAACACCCCCTTGGTCGGCATTTCAAGGGCAACCAAACCAACAAAAAACACCGCTGGCAGTTGTTCCATTTTGAGAACCCGGCCGCTTCGGCAACTCTTCGACGCCGACGCGACGCCCAATTTCTTCCGAGGCGCGGCCACTCCAGGTGAGGTTCGCGCCGGCGCCCAACTCCAAGAAGCTCGCGTCGAAGCGAGACTCGAGGCTGGCGTCGGCGAAAGCGAGCCTCGGAGTTTCGCCGCGTCACTTTGGCGCGCGGGGCGAGGCCATTGGCCCTGGGGGCTGGCTGCAACCCAAAAACGAGCCGGGGGGGGGGGGGGGGGTGCTAGCCAAGTGAGCAAAGGGCACACTTGATTTGGGTTTAACAACAAGCTGGTCAATGTGCATCATCTTTTTGTGCAGTGGCCTATGACAATTATGACTCTTGGAGCTGCAAAATTTTCTTACATGTGGGGTGAGGTGTCTACAAACGGTGGAACTCCTCTTTGGACGGTCTTGAAGGGAAAACCGAAAGTAAAAAAAACAAAAGGTCACAGACAGACGTCATACTTGCGATTGCTCCGGGAATAGCGCAACTGAAAAAGCCACTCTGGGGGGGAAAATATTTCCAATAAGGGGCTACCCTGGAGCAACATGGCATCACAGCTCATCACACTGCGCTGTGGAACCCTTTGCAGAAACCAAACTCCAGGTGGCAAAGATGCAAAATCAGCCATCTGGGCAAATTGCAGGAACCGCTAGTGAAGGCTCTTCGTCTTGGGTGAGCTCGTGTTTAGCCCCGAGCTCGGACATATGTGTGCGGACAGGACGCAAGGCCTGGCAAGTTTTGGCAGTGCAATGCAGGATTCCACCAGCCAAAAGACATACCAGGCTCAAAGTGGGAGATTGAGAATATCCACCTTCTATTCTTCTTCTTCTTCTTCTTCTTCTTCTTCTTCTTCTTCTTCTTCTTCTTCTTCTTCTTCTTCTTCTTCTTCTTCTTCTTCTTCTTCTTCTTCTTCTTCACACCACAAATGGGCCACTCCTCAGGAAGCTGCATCTGGTAACCGTCTTCAATCCTCCGCGTCTTGCCCGGAACCTGAAACAAAAAAATACGCATGGTATGCTAAGACGTTGATTGAAAAGCTTTCCGGGAACGAGCATTTGATTGGTAGGCAGATTTCAAGGCCCCAAGGGCCTCATAAATAAAGCCAGGCCGCGTAATCGCGCAGAAGCGTTTCATGGATCTGACATAGAGACGTATAAAGCTACGTGAAGATGGAAATGATGTGCAGACACACTAAGGCTCGCGAGTTTGCGAGGGGCGACCCTGGCTGTCCAGAGCCTTGAGCCCAGCACGCAGGTTCGGATGCAACCCCCAGAAAGAAACTGTAAAGGAGCAGTCCTTGCCTAGGGGCTTCGTGCCTCCCTGTGATGTCTTGGTTGCAGCCCCCTTTTTGTGGATAGAAAAGCAGAACCCGGCTTCTAAGCACGAAGGGCCAAGCCCAACGTCTTAGCCGAGTTTGGTCAGCAAAGGTCTTAACAAAATTGGTAACAACAGACTCCACGGGTTCGGACATGTCAAAAGGCTTGGGGCAGTCACATGTTGCCAGAGTGGCTTCAACATCTCATTGTATGTTTAAACCAAAGTAACAGGCCCTGGCAACCTAAAGGTGATCCTGTCCCGTGCTACTGGGCCGCGACGCTTTTTGTCTGTGACTGTCCGGGGTGCAAGCGTCTTGCCCGGTGTGGCTTCACGAAAACCCACAGCTCCAGCCAGCAGTGGGGACGCCCTTGCCTTGAGCAAGAGTATGTCGCCAGTCCAGGCGAAACAGCACCCAGAAAAGTGTGGTGTATGTATCCAAATTTGCCAAGTCGGTCTGACATGGCTTTCTTGAGGGAATCCCCCAAAATGGTGGTGATGTCCTTTTGGTGTTCCTTTAACACCACCAAAAAAGAAAGGGGTACCAGCTCAAAAAAAGACGAGCCACCCATCTCTGGCTCTGCCACAACCGCCACAACACACCTTTACTGGCACGAATCGAAGCTGGAATGCCCCACCGAGCTCTGCAGGTCTGGTATCCAGACCAGGAATCGCTCACCGCTTCTGGTCGAAGAGAACAGTCAGTTTGGTGGTGTGGGGAAAGCATGGGCCCCCCACTCCATTTTTCTGTAACATCCTCATCCTCAAAATGATCTCATTGTAAATGGTCAAATCAAATCGCCCCCCAAAAGTATACATCAAGTATACATCTAATCCTTGAGAAGTCTCCGACGCACTTTGAAGGACCCAGCAGTACAATGGCACAGCTGGTGCTGTTGCCCCCTTTTTCAACACAGTGGTCCCAATTCATCTTGCCTCTGTTCAGACCCAAGACAAACATAAGACTTGCCTGCTGGTCTAGTTGCACCAGCGTACCAAGTCCAAGTATGATGTGTTGCTCGAAATCGGAATCCAAAATTGACCTTGGACTCTTCAACAAAAGTCGCTTGGTCCATTTCCACATATTCTGCGCAGGAAAGCCTTTCTGAGGGTCCTCCAAGCAAATGTGTTTCGCTCAAGGGTCAAATCTGGGGACCTGTAGATGACGCCTCAGGAACCGCAGGTAGATAGCTTAAAATCTGAATATCTGGAGCGAGATGGACTACTAACTTGCCGTGTGAGTGTGTGTGTGTGTGTCTGTGGGATTGCGCGTGTGCGTGTGTACGTGCGGGCGTGCCTGCGTGTGCGTGCCTCGTGCGTGCCTGCGAGCCTGCATGCCTGCGTGCCTGCGTGCCTGCCTGCCTGCGTGCCTGCCTGCCTGCGTTTGTGCGTTTGTTTGTGTGCGCATGTCTCTCTGTGTGGTTGTTATGTTTGTTTGTATGTGCGCGTGCCTTACTGTGTGTGTTGTGCATTTGTGTGGATGTTTTTGTGTGTGTGTGTGTGTGTTTGTCTATGTTTGGTTGTTGTGGTTCTGTGCGTGTGTGTGTGTGTGCGCGTGTGCATGTGCGTGTGTTTGTGTGTGGTCGTGCTGTGGTTGTGGTTGTGGCAGTGGCTGTTGTTGTGGTTGTGGTTGTGGTTTGCTTGCGTTGTTGTGTGTTTGTGTTCGTGTGTGTGTGTGTGTGTGCAGTTGTGTGGTGTTTGAGTGCGTGTGCTTACAGTATGTGTTGGTTCGCTGCGCGCGTGCGTGCGTGCGTGCGTGCGTGCGTGCGTGCCAGCGTGCGTGCGTGCGTGCGTGCGTGCGTGCGTGCGTGCGTGCGTGCGTGGGTGGGTGGGTGGGTGGGTGGGTGGGTGTATTTACGCGTTCTTTTTGTGTGGTTGTGCTTTGTGTGTGTGTGTTTGCGCTTGTTCGTTTGTGTGGGGGATTGTGTCTGCGTTCCTGTTCGTGTGTGTGTGTGTGTGTGTTTGTGTTTGTCCTGGTTGTTGTATCGTGCCTGTTCGTGTGTGCGTGTGTGTGCTTGTGGCAATGTTTGTGTTTCTGTGCGTACTGTGTGCTTCCGTGGCTTCGTTTGTGTGTGTGTGTTGGCGTTTGTGTGTGTGTGTGTTGGCGTTTGTGTGTGTGTTTGTGAGTTTGTGTTTGCGTGCTTTTGTGTTTGTGTGTTGGTGTGTGTGTGTGATGGTGTGGTTCTGTGGTTCTTGGGTTCTGTGGTTGCGCGTGCGCGTTTGCATGTTCGTGCGCTTTCTGTGGTTGTGTGCTTGTGTTTGTGCGCGCGCAGGCGAGTGTGTGTGTGTGTATATGTTGTCTTGTATGCAGGTGGGTTGCGTCTATTTGGGTGTGTGCACTTTTCTGTGTGTGTGTGTGCGTGTGTTATGAGTGTGCGTATCTTGGTGTGTTTGTGCGTTCGTGCGTTTGTGTGTGTGTGTCTGTTTGTTTGCGTTTGTGTGTGTGTGTGTGTGTTTGTGTGTCTGCGTTTGTCTGCGTTTGTTTGTCTGTGTTTGTCTGTGTTTGTTTGTCTGTGTTTGTCTGTGTTTTTGGCTGTCTGCGTTTGACTGTGTTTGTCGGTGTGTGTGTGTGTGTTTGTCTGTGTTTGTTTGTCTGTGTTTGTCTGTGTTTTTGGCTGTCTGCGTTTGACTGTGTTTGTCGGTGTGTGTGTGTGTGTGTGCGTGTGCGTGTGCGTGTGCGTGTGCGTGTGCGTGTGCGTGTGCGTGTGCGTGTGCGTGTGCGTGTGCGTGTGCGTGTGCGTGTGCGTGTGCGTGTGCGTGTGCGTGTGCGTGTGCGTGTGCGTGTGCGTGTGCGTGAGCGTGTGCGTGTGCGTGTGCGTGTGCGGGTGCGTGTGCGTGTGCGTGTGCGTGTGCGTGTGCGTGTGCGTGTGCGTGTGCGTGTGCGGTGTGCGTGTGCGTGTGCGTGTGCGTGTGCGTGTGCTTGTGCTTGTGCTTGTGCTTGTCTGCGTGTCTGCGTGTCTGCGTGTCTGCGTGTCTGTGTGTCTGTGTGTCTGTACGTCTGTGCGTCTGCCCGTGTTTGCGTCTGTGTGTCTGTGCGTGTGTGTGTGTGTGTGTCTGTGTGTCTGTGTGTCTGTGCGTCTGTGTGTCTGTGTCTGTATGTCTGTGTGTCTGTGTGTCTGTGTGTCTGTGTGTCTGTGTGTCTGTGTGTCTGTGTCTATGTGTGTATGCGCGTGTCTGTGCTTTTGTTGCGCGTTTCTTTTTCTAATTATGTGTGTGTGTGCTTGCATGCTTGCGTGTGTTGCACATTTGTGTAAGTGCTTGTGCTTGCTGCTTGCGTTCTTGCTTGTGTTGTGTGTGTGTGTGTCTTGTATGCCCTGTGTCTTGTGTGTCTTGTGTGTCTTGTGTGTCTTGTGTGTCTTGTGTGTCTTGTGTGTCTTGTGTGTCTTCTGTGTCTTCTGTGTCTTCTGTGTCTTGTGTGTCTTCTGTGTCTTGTGTGTCTTGTGTGTCTTGTGTGTCTTGTGTGTCTTGTGTGTCTTGTGTGTCTTGTGTGTCTTGTGTGTCTTGTGTGTCTTGTGTGTCTTGTGTGTCTTGTGTGTCGTGTGTGTCGTGTGTGTCGTGTGTGTCGTGTGTGTCGTGTGTGTCTTGTGTGTCTTGTGTGTCTTGTGTGTCTTGTGTGTCTTGTGTGT